ATTCTAATTATCAAGGCCCCTAAAACATGGTCATTGCATGATGAGCCTGTTCACGCAACCTACGCAGTCGAGGCTGCACATTACCCCTCTCCGAGTGTGCGCACTTGCAGATTGCACATTCTCCCGCTGAATAAGAAAGCATGCAATAATTGATCAGCACCTAGCCGGGTTCTACATTACAACAAGACGCCTTCGTCAAGCGAAACTGAAGACACAAGCATGTCGGAGTTCATTCCATGACCGCCGTGCCAGGTATAGTTACAGTTGCATCTGCAGGCAGCTTAGTAGGTGAGAGGTGCAGCCCATAGCAGAGGCGCAACGTCCATGACATCTTCATATTATCTTCGTCCAACGCTTCACCAGATGAGCCCCTCAACTCTCGGCCACTTGCTCGAAACTCCGAGGCTCAACCCTCAGTTCCCGAAGCCCCTCCGACAATTCTCTCCTTGGCTGACCCCTTTTCGAGGATGCTGCCAAGCAAGCCATGCAAGAGTCAAAGAAGCTCGCTAAGCGCCAGAGCCTGAGGCAAAATTTGTTTGGGTTTACCCTTGGGGTTCTGGGGGCTGTTCAGCGGCCTGCAGTGCAGTAATCTCAAGTTCTAGTGTGCCGCGTGCTTTCCGCAATGATCGCACACAGAGACAAATGCTGAACCGATGGATCCGCGGTTAATGTGTGACATGCTTTACGGTTTGGTGCAAGCATACGCCTCTGTGCCTCACGCAACCGTCCCGTGCTTGCTCTGGAGTTTCCAACTGTTGTCATCTTACGAAGCTTCCAAACAGATCCATATTTTGCCAGGAAAGCAATCGTGAATGAACCCTCTATCGTCAGCAAATAGTCTTCATGTTTGCCCGCGGCCGAAAACCTNNTAGGGTTTAGGACTTAGGGTTGTTGCTGGTCCGTCCGGTATGGAGTATTCTTGCATGGCCAGCTGGGCTGTTTGGGATCAGTGAGCGGATCATGTCCCGGGTCTGTGCTTGTTATTAGAACGGCTAATGGCTGGCGATCATGCAAAACTGTACCTTTGCATGCTTGATATTTTCGTTTTGTTGGACCTACGCCGGGGCCTTCCCAACAGATGACCGGAAGTTTAACAACGGCCCCATTGCCCAATTCTACAACCAACACGCTATAATTTGGAAGACCCTCCAGAGCAACCACGCAAGGTGCACAAGACTGGTGGCATGCCTGACCTGATTGGCACGACCTACTGACCTACTGTACGTAGAATACTCGACTCTACTTACTCTGACCTGGCTGTCTCTCTAGCACCGTGTGTTTCATGAGTGTAAATGGCACTTCTAAGGCATGCCAGCGTTGTCACTAGCAATACTCTCAAGCCTGCCGGGACTCTGTTTCGAACACGTTCGAGGGCTTGAGGTTTTATGAGGACGGCGAGAGAGGGCCGTCCGGGCGGATGGATGGTCTTTCTTGGCGCTTGTGGTTCAGACTGCTCACAATCATAAGGCTGCGGGGCCTGTAGACTCTTGCCCTCACTCGCTTCACCTGTAGTCCCTGAACTTTGGGGAGTATTGGCGGCAAGTGCCGATGACAGGAACAAACTCCGTGGGAAGAAGGGTGAAGAGCTGGGCCCTTGTGGAAGTGGACCAAGCATGCATGCGAGATTGCTAGAGCCGTTGAGAGGGGGTACTGCACGAAAGTGTCGTTGAAACTTCCTGAGTAGGCCTTTGGGATATTTTGCATTTTCCTTCATTGGGCTTAAGACTTAAGAGGAACTTTTTTACGAATATTTTCAGAAGCGTTGAAGTGCCAATCCAGCTTCTATTCTGAACCGTCAGAGACGAATCCTCAACCTTTCAACGATTCCACCTAAACCCTATTTTACCCTAATTCCTACACACGCTAAGCCCAGGCTGCAAGAGCAGCGGGACATCCAAGTTCTCGAGCTGGTGACCTGACCGGAAAGCGTGCGAGACATCGACTTCCGCGCAACTTTGAACCCGTGTTTGGGATCCGCCTAATTAAACCCTAAGCCGATTTGAAGTTGCTTGAGGCTCGGAGGCGGAGGCCATGAAATCTTCTTGCCCCTAAACCCTAAACCCTAGACCCTAAACCCTAAACCCTAAACCAAAAACCCTAAACCAAAAAAAACACTAAACCCAAGGGCTGATCCAGCAGAAGGAAGCATAGGTTCAGGATGCAGCTGCCAAGCAGTGCACCGACCTTGGGTCCATTCTTCCTCACCCCCTGCCATGTGGGAGTTTCCGAAAATAAGGGGCTTTTTAGGGTTTAGGGTCTAGGGTTTAGGGTTTAGGGTTTCCGAAAATAAGGGGTACCTTATTTTGGGGTCCTTATAATAAGGATCCTACTATTTCGGGTACTATATTAGGGTCCCCTATAATCGGAAACCCCCATGTCTCAGCGCGACTTTACCCTACTTGGAGGTTCATGGGTAGCTATAAGTGGAGTTATAGTTATAAGTCCCCTAATATGGGTTATAATCACAGTTACCCTACTTATAACCCCACTTGTAACTGCCCATGAACCTCCAAGTAGGGGGCCTAAAGTAGTTCCTGTTTGGGCTTCATATATAGAATCCTAGAAGGTAACCCCAAAAGGAACTGCTATGGGTCCTATGGGTAAAGCCTAAACTCCTGAGCCCGGCCCTAACCCCGCAACTTATAAACCCTGCACCCAGAATCCTAAAGCCCAACACCACAAGGCCAAGAACGAGAAACCCCGTCTTCGCGATCATTTCCTGGAGCTGCTCGGCGAATTTCTCTCTGTTGCGCCTGTTGGGAGGGTTTAGGGTTGAGAGTTTTTTGGGTTTAGGGGTTTAGGGTTGTTGGGTCTAGGGTCATGATGGCTGTGATCACTATGGGGCGGATTCTCAGCAACAGCAGCAGCAGCAGCAGCAGCAGCAGCAGCAGCAGCAGCAGCAGCAGCAGTACCATCATCATCATCATCATCGTCATCATCATCATCATCACCATCGTCAAATTCATCTTCATTTTCGTCGTCGTAGTTTGTGCTATCCGAAGTCCGACAACCGCCGGCTCAGGCTGATCCTAATTTTCTACAGTCGCTCTTAGCCTTCCCGACATTTGCCCCCCCTTAAGCCCTGGTTCGAATGACACCACGTGCACACGAAAAGCTCGCCGAGGATGCTGAAGCTTCGCTTCCGGATGGATGGCTGGGAGGCGCGAGCATTAAACCCTAAACCCTAAACCCTAAACCCCTAAACCCCTAAACCCTAAACCCTAAACCCCTAAACCCTAAACCCCTAAACCCTAAACCGTTGCTGGCCTTTCAGGGACTGGCCTTTGCAGGTCTACTTAGGGCCTGAGCAGTCAAAAGCAGTCGAGGCTTGGATCCAGGGAATCAGTATTATGGCACTTACTACTTGGAGGTTCATGGGTAGTTATATAAGGTGGGTTATAAAGCTGGGTAGTTATATAAGTTGGGTTATAAACCCCATAATATGGGCTATAACTCTAGTTACCTTACTTATGACCCCACTTATAACTACCCATGAACCTCCAAGTAGGCATTCGACTCAATTCGCCGGATCCCTAAACCCTAAACCCTAATCCCAAGTGCCAGGAGATCCGGGGTCAGTGTGGAGTTACCTACCCTTTGCTAGGATGTTCTGAGCTGTCACCTGTGTCTCAGTTCTCTGCATCCGCCTGGCTAAGTTAATGATGCAGCGCCTGACGTCTAATGTACAACTGGGGGTTTTAGAAAATGCGGGACCCTAATACAGTACCCTAAATAGTAGGATCCTTACTATAAGGAACCCCAAAAAGGTACCCCTTGTTTTCGAAAACTCCCAAGTAAGACTGCAGGACCTCCTGGGAATAGAAGAGGAGGTGATCGTCGGAATGCGTCAGCATTGGCCCTTCCTGGAGGAGGCACCGAGACTTTTCCTCGTTAGAACACTTCTGGACATGAGTTGCTTTGGTCTGAGGACCATGGGTTTGCATGTGGGTAGTTCTCTAAATTAGGGTCCCTTTTGGGGGCCCTTTTTATAAGGGTGCCGTACTATATTGGGGACCTAGAGAGGGACCCTACTTTAGAGAACTACCCATGTGAACCCTTGGATCTATCCATAGCCGGACAGTGACAGTGTAAAGTTCACGGAGGGTGGCTCCTTGCGCTGTGCAGTTGTAGCGCCTGCCGCAAGCCACATGCCTTGTGATCTGAAGGGTGAGCACCCATGGGCCCTAAAATTCCTTTCTGGGGTTCATATTTAGAATCCTATAAGGTAACCCCAAAAAGGAACTACTATGGGGCCTAAGGGTGAGCACCTTCTGCTTGAGCACTTGCCTTTGCCTGGCAAAGCATCATGCCGCACTTGGAAGTTGCACGCGTAGAGACTATGGGTCTCAATGACAACAGGCAGGGCAGACCAACTTGCTTGTTACTATAGGAGCCTAGACAATTACCTATACTCTTTCGGGGTTCCTTATTATAATTTTAGTTATAGTATAATCTACCCCCCAAAACCCTATTCTAATTATGAAGGCCCCTATATTATTGTGGTTGTTTGGATGTACGGTAGAAGTCTACTGGGACTCATCTGTGCCTGGTGTACATGACTGCCTGCGACTCCAGGAGTCAGACCTTTTGGACTACCCAAAGCCACAGCCAGCCTCGCGCTACGCGCTGGAACACATCGCTGTGGAGAGGCCTGCGTCTTTGAGCTGAAAGGGTGAACTGTCATGTTACTTGGAGGTTCATGGGCAGTTATAACTGGTGGGGTTATAAGTAGGGTAACTGTGATTATAACTCATATTAGGGGACTTATAACTCCACTTATAACTACCCATGAACCTCCAAGTAGGTTGCTGTCTAGCAGCTTCGGTTTTCGGGGCCACAAGCGGCTACCTCTGAATATGCTCTCCAGGACAATGATGGACCCTCTTCAAATGCGCAGTGATGCTGGTTCCTTGGGTTGGTTTGAGCCCGAGTAACATGGACCTGAACGCCCGATCGGCCCCGCACGTGAGAAAGCCATGACCGCTGCCCAAACTTTGACCGTGACTTCATCCCTCAGCGGTTTCGGTGCCAGGCTTCTGCCCACCAAGTACGTTGCCTGTATCCAAGGCGGCTCGAAGATGTTCAAGTAAGGGTTGCCTCAGCCCTCAGTGGCGAATCTTTACATAGAGTTCATATCACAACTTGGCCATTTTCGTCCTGCTGCTTCCCTTGGTTTTTGACGAAGTTGTTGCTGACGTCATCATGCCGATGAAAATGTAAGGCCGTCCTTGTGGGTAGTATGGCTAATGCATGTTCATGCTCTATTGAGTTTGTTATGGCAATTTTAATTTGTTTGACTATGTTTGATCGCCTTACAAGCACTTCGCCTCAGACAATCAGTAGTTTGTTTTCGATTTGATAGCTACTTATCAGTATGGCTGGGTTGCTGTTAACGGTGATGGCGGCCACGATGATCGTGTTGCACGGTTTTTTGGCAACAAGTGCTGCTCAACATGTGTGACCTCATTCAATATGTGGATCTGGGCCGGTGTCATTCTGGCAGCAGTTGCTTGGACCCGGGGGTTGGCCTTTTAAATGTTGGCTTCGGGCTGTGCGAAGTTTACGGCTCCGGTGTCAGTATGACACTGTCGCCATAGTCGCATAAAGCCAAAATGCAGTGGCTGAGTGGCAGTTGCAGATGCGCGCAGGCGGCACCGAAAGGCGTCCAAAGCGCGGCGAGTTCACAGCTCGGCTTTAACTTAAGAAATGTCGGGGCCAGGGGGCATCTGGAAGAAGGAGCTGTCAAAGGCGCTGAAAGGAGCATGAGGTTCGCAGTTTCACGATCAGTCGGTTCTGTTTCGTGACTAGTTACTAGCACTAGCGACTCGCGGTTCCTCTCCAGCCGCATTTGCCGAAGTTACATGCAGCCGGACACCTTCCTGGCTCTTCGAAAGTAGCCAGCGCCCTTCATCTCCCCGTGATTGCCTGCCTCTAGTCGCAATGGAGACTCGTCAGCTCCAAGTGGCCTTTCTGCATCTGAGCCCACCTTCGACAGCCGACGATCACAGACTGCAGCTTCCACCCTACGTAATTAAGTACTGCTCAGCACAGCATACATGCCGTGATACCCCTGTCTTGCAGCATACAACCTTGAGTACCAACTACCTACTGATGGTATAGCGAGCTAGTAACCTAGCATTGACCACAGGCTGCGAACTGTCAAATACTACTGCGAAGATGAAGCAAGAATAATAATGATAAGAAGAAGTGAGTCATCTGCAGCCACATGGTTCACTGTAAGTATCAGCAACATCGCGGGAAGAAGCGACTTAACGCCAACGCGTGGTCACAGCGAGCCCATACACAGTCATACTCAAACTCCTGCTCTCCCTTTGCCTCTGTCTCTGTGACGAACTTTCTCCCGCTCTCTCCTCTCTCCTTTTTTTTTCCTCTCTCTCTCTCTGTCTC